CTACAGCACGTTCCAATGCTGGAATGCTAGCAGTAGTTTACCTTGGCTGAGGGAGCACAAACCCAGCTCTCAACGAGAGGGGGCTCGACCTGCAGCATGATTGTAAAATCAGAGGGGTAAGCATACTGCAATCTAGCCAAATAGTCAGCGCATCAGGGAGGCAGAGGAAAGGGTTTACCTTGGCTGAGGGAGCACAAACCCAGCTCTCAACGAGAGGGAGCTCGACCTGCAGCATGATTGAAAATCAGAGGGGTAAGCATACTGCAGTCTAGCCAAACTCTCATTCAGGTAACCCTTTGATAAAAGGGGAGCATTGTCTCAATACTACCACGAGGACAGCCCATGGAGCGAGGAATCTAACTCCTCAGAGAGGATTAACGCTCGAAAGAAACATCATACTCACAATAACCCTCAATGGTGAGGGGGGTGATGCCTCAAGAGGATATCCTGGTGATCGGGAAAAACCCCTCAGGTCGACCCAGATACGGTAGACCAGTCAGGGTAGCATGAAACCGCAACCCCAGCCTGGACGTCCAGGAAATTTTTGCAGTGACGCGCCGGGGGCCTGATACGCTAGCAGTAGTTTACCTTGGCTGAGGGAGCACAAACCCAGCTCTCAACGAGCGGGGGGGGGGGGCTCGACCTGCAGCATGATTGAAAATCAGAGGGGTAAGCATACTGCAGTCTAGCCAAACTCTCATTCAGGTAACCCTTTGATAAAAGGGGAGCATTGTCTCAATACTACCATGAGGACAGCCCATGGAGCGAGGAATCTAACTCCTCAGAGAGGATTAACGCTCGAAAGAGACATCATACTCACAATAACCCTCAATGGTGAGGGGGGTGATGCCTCAAGGGGATATCCTGGTGATCGGGAAAAACCCCTCAGGGCGACCCGGATACGGTAGACCAGTCAGGGTAGCATGAAAGCGTAAACCCCAGCCTGGACGTCCAGGAAATTCTTTGCAGTGACACCGGGGGCCTGATAATCACAAAACTCCCGCAGAAGCCTGTGTTATGGCCGCATGATCCAGGAAGTATGAAACCTTACTTACCTTCTGGACATATCTCGACGAGTGAAATAAACACTGCAAGTCGAGCACCCGGTTTCTGACCCCAGCACGGGAAACACTGCAAAGAAACTAGCAGAAGGGTACACACAACCACCAGTTTCATAGCACATACATATATTTATATACATATATTTAGACATGGATCGTACTCACCCACCACGGCTCCCGCGTTGGAGCTCTGTCCGGAAAGCCTCTAGACCGGACCTTCAGTAAGGTGGTTACTATGATAACCATAGAACCAACCAAAACATCATAGGTCCAGAAGGAGACTGTTATGCAGGAAGCTTCCACCTGACCTCGGTCAGGTGGCGATATGGTGGTTACAGGGGAATTAGGAAGGGGAAGATGTTACACCCCCTGAGGGAAAGAGTGGATACCTAAGTATTACTCTGATCCGGACGAAAGCTCTGACGCCTTGTCTGGATCACATCCCTCAGGTCTTGCCTACCTCCCTTCGACCCACGATACTTCCTACCCCTACCCGCAGGCGGAGGAGGAGCGCGAGTCGCGACACTAGCCTTCTGTGCTCGTCTCTGATCCTCAAATCGAGACGGGCCAGGACCCCTGGTTTGTTCGGGCTCAGACCTGGACCTTCGTGGAATGAAGGTTTTGAAGGCCGCTGAGCGTGCCTTCGCCTCCCTGAACTTTTCGATGACCGTCTCAACGGATGTACCAAAAAGTTCAGAGGGCGAAACCGGGGCATCGAGAAGAAAACCCCTTTCTTTCTTCCCGATGTCTGCCAGGTTTACCCACAGCTGCCTCTCCGTTACTACCATCGCTGCCATAGATCTGCCCATGGCAGAGGCAGCCTGCTTAGTAGCACGAAGAGCAAGATCCGTGGTGCGGCGTAACTCAGCCATCTCATCAGAAGAAAGGCCCTCGCCTTTATCCAGGTCTTTCAGCAGATCAGCCTGGTATGCTTGGAGCACCGCCATCGTGTGCAGTGAAGCAACAGCCTGACCTGCTGCTGCTGCGTATGCCTTGCCATTCATTTTAGATGTAGCTTGAAGAGGCATGGATGGCAAGGAGGGAGTTTTGAGAGATGATGTCTCTCCCATAGAGAGATAGCTAGCTAGCGTCTCTTCTACAGGGGGCATTCTCTCATAGCCGTTTTCGCGCACCGCCTCGATATTCGCATAACTGGTATGCTGAAACCGATGGATGCGTGAGGAAAATGGCTTCTTCCATTCCTTCTCGATCTCCGTATGGAGATCAGGAAGGAAAGGAAGACTCACCTGAGCTGGAGGGTTATGGCCAGCAAGATAACGTTCGTCGAGACGACCTCGCGACGCCACTTCCTTAGTCCGCTTCCATGGCAAGTCAAGTCTTGCCGTGGCGCGATCCATAACCTCTAAGAGCTCATCATACGCAGGGCAGGAGGATTGAGAAGGCTCAGCCTCAGCTTCTTCGCTCTCATCATCCATTTCCTGCTCTTCCTGGGC